TTCTTCTACTATATATATATATATATATATATATATATATATATATATATTTCCTCTGAGCTTTGAAAATCGACCATCACCATAGTCACCATGGAGAAGTACACGCAGCTGAAGATCCTCGGCAAAGGCAGCTTCGGCTCCGCCTGGCTCATCCAGCGAAATGACGACAAGGTGCAGTTCGTGGCGAAGGAGGTGCGGCTGGCGGGGCTGAAGCCGGCGGAGCGGGACAGCGCACAGGCAGAGATCGAGATGCTGCGGCGCCTGGAGCACCCCAACATCACGCGCTACATCGACCACTTCGAGCACCGCGGCTCGCTCTTTATCGTGATGGAGTACGCGAACGGCGGGGACTTGTACATGAAGATCAAGCAGCGCAACGGGCAGCTTCTTACAGAGAAGGAGGTGCTGCAGTACTTTGCACAGATTTGTCTCGCCCTCGCGTACCTGCACGAGCGGCGCATCCTGCATCGCGACCTCAAGACGCAGAACGTCTTCCTCACGAAGGACGGCGTGGTTAAGCTGGGCGACTTCGGCATTAGCACGGTCCTGCGCAACACCTACGAGCTCAAGCACACGATCTGCGGCACGCCCTATTACTTCTCGCCGGAGCTCTGCCTCAACAAGCCGTACAACAACAAGAGCGATGTCTGGGCCCTTGGCTGTGTCCTGTACGAGATGACGACGCTGAACCACGCCTTCGACGGCAACAACATGAAGGCACTCGTGCAGAAGATTCTGAAGGGCTTGTACCCACCCATCCACCCCATGTACAGCAGCAGCCTCTCCCGCCTCATCTCGGCGATGCTGCAGATGGACCCTCACAAGCGACCCAACGTGTCGCAGATTCTCGACCTCAACTTCATTCGCGAGTCCCTCGTCAGCCTGCAGCGCGATCTGCAGAGCGCCCGCGTGGACGCCCGCTCCGTCGTCTCCGCGGAGGAGAAGCAGGTCCTCCAGCAGGCCGCTGCCCAGCGCCAGGAGGAGTACCGCCGACAGGAGCTCGACAACGCCGCCCGGGCGGCGCAGGAACAGCGGCAGCGCCGTGCGGTGCTGGAGCAGCAGCAGAAGGAAAATGAACAGCGACGTCGCGAGATGGAGGAGAAGCAGCGGCAGCTGCAGCAGCAGCAGGAACAGGCACTGCAGGAGCGGAAGCGTGCCTTGGAGGAGCGCGTGCGGGAGCAGCGCAAGGCGCAGGCCCAGCGAGGGAAGGCGGACGACAAGAAGTTGAAGGCGCGGGAGAAAAAGTGGGATCAGCACCTGCAGGAGCAGGTCGTGGAGGCGAAGCAGAGGAAGGACGCGACGCCACCACGGCCAGACCGCGACCGCGGCTCCCCGCCGTCGCTGCAGCACGGGGAGCTGGAGGAGCAGCAGAAGAGGTCCGCGATGGAGGCATATCAGGAGATGCGTCGGCAGGCCGCGGCGAACAAGGAGCGCAACCACCGCGAGTCGGGCATCAACGTGCCGGCGAGGGACAGACAAAGCACCAACGCAGCGGACGGCGTGATGTCGGCCCTGCCACCCAGCCAGCCGCCGCCGCCCCGCACGCCGCCATCGAGCCACCGCTACAGCTCCCGTAAGATGACGCCGGAGGAGCTGGACGAGGCCCGCTCGCAGGCGTTCTGGCAGATGCGACTCGAGGCGGCGAAGAATCGCCGGAAGATGCTCGGGAAGGACGACTCCGAGTCGCGCGACTCCCGTGAGCCGTCGAGCGCGTCCAACGTGACGGGGACGTCGTCGCCGACCAGCCAGAAGGACGCACGGCACAAGGCGAGCGACACGGCGGCGGCGGCGGAAGAGGAGGGTGTGAGCAACAGCCCCATCCACAACAACGGCGCGAAGCGCCGCCCGGTGGTCAAGCGCCCGCCATCGCCTGCAAAGGCGGTGAAGAACGCACCGGTGGATGCAGGGCCGGCGAAGAACGGCGGTGCTGCTCCCGCTGTTCCCGCTGCTGCGGACGAAATTGTGGAGAACGTCGCGAGTGACGCGAACGCCATGACGCCGGACGGCGAGGAGGGGCTGCACAACTTCCTCAACGGCGAGGCAGCCGCGGCGGACCCAACAGCAGCGGAGGAGAAGCGGCGCGACGAGGACTACCACGCGCTGGACACGATCATCGGCGAGACGCTGCGTATCAATGCGACCAAGAAGCCGGCAAAGGAGGACTTCGACGATAAGGCATTCGTGGAGGACACCGACCCGTCGAAGCTGGTGCTGGACGGCAAGGTTTTCCACCTGCCGAACGTGACCGCCAAGGATCCGCTCATGCACCGCATTGAGTCACTTCGCATCTTCCTGGAGAAGGAGATGGGCGACGATGACCTTCTAACGTGCTACCGGGTCATGAACAACATCTCAAGCAGCGACGATGAGGCGATGCAGCAGCTGCAGAGTGCGCTGCCGCCGTCGAAGCATCGGTTTATTCCGCTTGTGGCGCACCTCGTTGTGTGCGAGGATGCATTCAACCGTCAAGGCGCGTCCGCACCGGTGCCGGCACTTTAAGGCGTCTCGAGAAGTGTCGTCTACACCTCTCTTTTTATTCTATGGTTGACTTCTGTTCTCTCTCTCTCTCGGCAGATCTTCCGTCCTTGTTTGTTTGTTCTTCCCCCGCTTTTCTGTCGCTTTGGATGACGTACTTCTTTTTCTTTTTAAATCTTCTCTCTTCGCGCTGTGCTTCTCTGATGGAGCGTTACGTCTCGTTTCCTTCCCGGCTTCGCTGGCTTCACCTCGTTGTTTGAGGGGGGAGGAGGACCACGGCCGCTTTTCTCTTCTTTCCTCCATGTGTCTACTTCATTTCTTCTCGTGTGTGTGTGTGTGTGTGTGCTCCCTCGTTCGCTCTCCCTGTCCGAGGTTGTGGGGGGGGGGGCGAGCTCCGCTTCCTCGGTGGTTCTTCCTCCTTATTGCTGTCTCTCTGTTGGAAGAAAATGACGGAGGGATAGAGAGAGAGCAGCTGCGGTAAAAGATGAGTCCGCGCTGCAGGCGGAAACGTTCTCGGAGGACGTCTGAAGCAGCGTGCTGATGTATGTTTGTACGCTATTGTTTCCTTCCTTGTTGCGTTTGTTGCTGTGTGTGTGTGTGGAGGGGTGAGGGTGCGCCAGCGGGAGATCTTTGAGATTCGTTTTTCTTCTCTTTCTTACCTGTGTATCTGCCGCACTTTGTAATGTAAATATTTTTTTGCTGGTGACGTTGGCTGTCGTGTTGTCGTCTGCGTGTGAGGGCGTGTCGTTCAGTCTAAACGGATCTGAACTTTTGTTTTCGATCCAGTGTTCTTTTTTTCGGTGTCGTTGGTTTCGCGGTTGAATGACGCAGAGTTTCCCGTCACGTGCGTGTTATTTTTGTCTCTCTTTCTCCCCCTCTGCCCCCTCCCTCCCTCCTCTTTTTCCCAGTACTATTATCCCTTTGCGAGAACTAGGTGATGAAGCTAATGGCCGTGCAGATGCCCCGCTGCGGGCACAGGGAAGGCAAAGAAGGGAAAAATCACCCCCACTCGCACCTCGCAATCGCGCTGATCCGCCTCTGCTTGTGTGGTGTTGTGAAGAGCAAAGAGCAACACCAACAACAACCAAAAGAATTAATGGTCGATGAGGACCGTTGAACGTACGTTGCTTCACAGCCGTCTTTGGGTTGTGCTCACCGCTCTGTGCCTCATGTACGGTTGTACTTCGCGTTTGGCCGCCACCAACCTCGTTGGAATCAACGGTGCACCTCCTTCCCTCCTTCCTTTTCTTCCTTTCCATCCTCTCGCTCTTGTGACGTTTCGCGCCCGCTGCAACTGCGTGCGCTGCAAGATCCGTAGTGGGCGAAGTAACGGTGGCAGCAGCCATTTTCTTTTGCCCCCGAGCACGTTTCTCCGCTTTTCCCGGCGCCGCACCTTCCGAGAAATTTATATATGTACATGTAAAGAGAGCTTTTGGAGAGCAACGCTGAAGAAGGCCGCACATCGACACCGATTCCCGCATATTGGCTGTTCTGGTGTTTTTAGCTGTCTTTTGCCAACCCCATTAAGCGCACACCCGCCGCTACGCGCAGATCCGTGCGTATGTGTGTGTGTGTGTGTGTGTGTGTGTGTATCGTCGACGTCGTTCTGTTCTCTTTAGGATATCTTTCTTTCCTTTAATCATTCGTAGATAGCTGGACGCAGGGTCATCCACTGCCTCGACATCATTACACCCCTTTAGCTCCTTTTTCTTTATCTTCTGTTTTTATCGCGGTAGTTCTCTCTAGCAGCGCGTCTCACGCACTCGGTTCATCCCTTTGGCGTGCGTAAGAGCAGTACACGTGGTTGCCCCCTTAGTCCACCGGCAAATCCCGCCTACGCGCCATTTCTTCTCTTTTCCTCTCTGGTGAGCACCCGTCGTGGGGGCTAACGAACTTGCGGAAGCAACAACAGAAAAGAATACATAAGAGTCATAAATTGAAAGCACTTAGATGATGCACCGCACCTTCCTCCGTCGCGCCGCCGCTGCGGCACCCGACGTGAGTGCGCTGAAGTTTGACGTTATCGTCGTGGGCAGCGGCGCGGCCGGCTCGCTCATCGCGGGACGCCTGGGCATGGAGAACCTAAAGACGCTCGTGATTGAAGAAGGCGAGGACATCCGCCGGTACCCGGACTGGTACCACACGCTGCCCGCCAGTCAACTGGCCCACCGCGTGACGCGGCGCGGCTTCGAGTCGAAGGAGACCGTGACGGTGCCGCAGCAGCAGCCGGACGGCAGCGGGAGGGCGATGGTGTGGGTCCCCACGCCGAGTGTGCTGGGCGGACACGGCGTGATGGGCAGCCGCACCTGGAACCTTGGTGATGAGCGGGACTGGGAGGGCGGCCCGTGGAGCTTCCGCGAGGACCTGCTGCCGCGGGTGCGCGCCTTCGAGAACATGGAGATCTTTGTCTCACACCGTGGGAAGCGTGGAAAGTTTCTCATCTGCAAGCCAGTGAACTTCTCGCCCTACTTCAAGCCGTTTTGCGAGGCCGCCTCGCAGGACGTGCCGCTGATGAGCGAGTTCACGCGCAAGGAGTTCCGCATCGCCTGCGGCTGCGGCCGGCCGGACACGTTTGTGGATCAAACCGCCGGTCTGGCGAACTCCTCGCTGCAGCGCTACCTCCTCGGCACGATGAAGCTGAGCCGGCCGGTTCGTGTGGAGTGCGGCGCGAAGGTGGTCGGCATCCGCAGCGCTGACGGCGACAAGAGCACCGCCGCCGGCGTGACGATACGCCGTCCTGATGGGCAGATGATGGACGTGGCGAGCACGATGGTGATAGTGTGTGCCGGCAACGTCGGCAGTGCCCGCCTGCTGTGTGCCTCGCGCGGCACCGTCGACGTCGACGCGTCGGTGGGGCAGAACTTCTGGGACATCCCGCAGGTGGTGCTGCAGTACAAGACGAAAAACCGCGATAGCCACAACTGCTACTTCGACCCGATGGTGCGAGCCGTGCTGCGTGCGGAGCTGCGCTACAGCACGCCGCCGCTCAGCCTGCGCTCGAGCTGGGATGACCTGGTGCTGTACTGGTCCTCGACGGGGTCGACGGAGCCGGACGTGGAGATTCAATTTCAGCCCTTCACCCTCTCGAATGATGGCACGCAGCCGCTGCCCGAGGCGCACGGGTGCCAGTTCATCGTCCGGCCGATCCGCCCGCGCAGTCGCGGTCAGGTGAACGCCGACGGCTCGTTGGATCCGAAGTACTTCGCCGAGCCGGCCGATCTCGCGGCGCTGCGGAAGGGCGTCGCCTACGTGCAGGAGAACCTTGTCAAGAAGGTGCCGTTCATTCCGATCATTGGCGATCTAGTGCAGACTCGCTTCGAGTCCTCTGGCGTGAACGGCGGCACGTGCGCGCGTGCGATCGACCCCGAGACGTGCCGGCTGAAGGATCTAAAGAACGTGTACGTGTGCGACCACAGCATTCTACCGAACCCTCTCACCGGTAGCACGCTACCCTACACGCTGGTGCTGGCCGACCGCTTCGTGGATAAGCTGCTGAAGAAGCGCGATGTGAAGGCGAAGGTGGAGGAGGACCCGGACGTCGGTGCGACACGCATTGTGTATTGATGGAGGCGTCGGCGCGAAAAGGCGAAGAAAGAAGAAAAGATAACGAGTAGAATTGCTGCTGCTCGTGATGCCTTTACGGGTGTACTCGGTGTGTTCTGTCAGGGTACTGTGCAGTGCCGCATTTCTGTCCTGTGCTTTTCGTTTCTCTTCTTCTTTTTACGCTGGCCGTATTTGGGCTTTGGAAGATGTTGTGCTGCGCAACTCATTAACGTTTCTGGTCTCCTCGCTGCATGGGAGAAGCGCTTAAAGCTTATATATATATATATATGTGTGTGTAGGGTTGCGGTGCTGCTCAGCCCCCTCCCCCAGCCGCCTCCTCCCTTTTTCTTCTTGTCTTTCTTCATCGTCAAGGGCGAGGACTGGAAACCGAGGGGGGCAGGGGGGGAGAGGGTGAGTCGCGTTCATTTCTTTTTTCTTATTGCATTGTCGCTTTTTCATCTACACGCAAACAGCACAAACGGAGAAAAGTTGCAGAAGTAAGAAAAAGGCCATGTGCACGAGCTCCTGGAGTTCAAGCACGGCAATGCGCTGCTGGTTCGGAAAGGCTGATGGCGCATTCTAAGAGGAATGGCCGCTTCCAGGGAGTCTTCTCCAACAGCCTTACTGGATCCTGCATGTGTCAGAGTCAAAGCGTGGAGTTTGAAGGAGTGCACTGGGGTTTCTCACCACGGCCATTTTGCTTGTTCCGTGCTACATACATACCCGAATGAATGAGCGGCGCGCTCGTTTCGAGTCGTCTTCTATTGAGCGTGCTACCTTTCCCTTGTCTTTCGCTATTCTGCTTTTGTTTCTCCCTCCCTCCCCTCTTTCTTCCTACGTGCTTTATCGTCTGTATCGACGCGTGACACGGCAAATTGCATTCCCCGCTGCATTTCCGTATTTGCTTTCGTTTTTGTTGTTGCACTTCGCATCGTCGCACGCGTACTCCCACCATCTCTCCCGCACCCGTTGAAAGCTTACTACGCTGTTCTCTTTTCTCTCGCTTGCTCGTGTAGATCGAACACCCACACGCTCTCTATCTTTATATACGACTTTATTCTTGAAGAGGAGAAGAAGGCGTAGTTCCGATTCTTTCACGACACGACGCAGACAGGCGCGTCGTATATATATTGCTGACCTCTTCCCATCAGCCGTCCCCCTCGCCGGCGCCGTCTAACCGCCAAGCTTTTCCGCCACGCCCCCTATTTATTTATTTTGTTTGTTTTTCTCTCTTTGTTCATTTCATCGTGCCAGTGGATCAATTGAGTTAGCTTCGAGTTTGACTCCTCTTTCTCGATTGTCGGGTTGTGCGTGTTGCGTATTGCGATGCAAGGTGGTGCCTCGCCATTTCTTCCTCGTCATTTGTTGTCATCTGTTCTTCTTATTCGCCCGCTTTTGTGTTTTCAGTGCAGATTTTGCCTCCGTGTGGCGACGTGACGGTGCATCCACCGGCGGAATCTGTCGACGAGGACGTCGTGAAGACGAGAAGGTACACTGCGAGCGCGGCTCGGCACGGAACCTGTTATTACTACTCCTAATCCTATTCCTATTACTATTGTTGTCAGCGTAGTGAGCGTTGTCTTTCCTTTTGCTTGATCCTTATCGCCCAACGCAAAAAGGAAGCGCCGTAGAAACTCCACAGCAAAGCCGACCGGTGCAGACACACGCGCGCATACATCGAGTTCTCGCTCTGTATTGGGGGTTTCAACACATTCTGTTTGTACTTATTGCCCTGAACGCCAACACACACGCACAAACCCGTCCACGTTATTCGTTTTACTTTTTATTGTTGTTCTCCTTTTCTCTCGCGCCTCGTCTTCCTCTCCCCCTCCCCCCTTTCCGGTGCGCGTCTTCCTCCAGAATTCCTTGTATCCGGCGCTGCAGTTACACCGGCAGTCGCGCGCCTTTGCTTCTCCCTCCGCTTCTTTCGCGTTGCATCTCCTGTCTTGGTTGGCTTCGCACATCGGGCGAGGAAAACCGGACGGCAGCATCAGGCACCGAAGAAAAGAGCGGTAGTTCCTCACATAGGCGGCGACCGAGCTTCGACACACCGCCGCTCCACCTTTCTCCGTTCGTGGCCAGAGTCAGCGGGGCGCCGTACTGCTGTCGCAACCGCAGTCATTGCACGAGAAGGCAGCGCACCATTTTACGGGTTCTGTCTCTTCTGTTTTCAGCGCAGAAGACCCGACTTTATTGTGAGGTGTGAAAGAGCGCTTGGAAAAAGAGAAAAAAACATTTGCTGCGTGGCATCCGCAAATCAACTGTATTCTGCACTCCGTTCGCCTTTTGTTATTACTACTTTTTCTCCCTCTTTCGCGCCTATGGAGCCGATCCGACAGACATCTAGCGGCGAGCGGCACAACCTCGTCCCGAACAGCGGCGCTGCACACGACAGCCGTCGCACCTCCCTTGCCGTCCCGCTGCTCGACGAGGAAAGCCTAAAGGCAAACAGCGGCGCCTCGAACGTTGCCGCAGGTGGCTTCACGCTCGTCTCGCAGGGCGACGACAACTTCAAGAGCGGCAACAACGGCGGCGCTGGCGCAGAAGGCATGGCACTCTCCCCCAACGCCCTGTCCAAGACCCTCGATCAGAATCAGATCTACTCCATGCTGCAGCAGCAGCAGGCCGTGGCGATGGCGGCGGCCCAGCTGGAGCAGGCCTACAGCCATACCTGCTACCTGCTGCAGCAGTGCTCTCACAACGCGCTGCTGACGGTTTTGATGTCGCTTCTGAACGACTACCCGACGACGCTGGTGCAGCCAATCCGCGTACGTGTGGAGCAGGTGCTGGCACAGCAGATGTCCCCGTCCGCGAGCAGCCGTCCGTCGAACTCGGCCCGCAAGCCCGGCAACAACTTCGTGCCGAACAGCAGCGCCGCGCCGTGGACGCCGTCCAACGTGCACGGCAGCGCTGCACAGACGCCGACGGCGAGCGGCACCCCGGGTGGGCACCGCCGCGGCCGCGGCCACAAGGCCAAGGAGGAGGAGCAAGAGATGTGCAGCATCCACAACAACATGCGGGCGGTGAAGCATCTGCAGATGAACCCCGCCACGGGCCTGTATGAGTGCATCCATGGCTTTCACTGCTTGGTGGAGGGCCAGGCGGACGTGTCGCCGAGGCGGGCGACGACGGCCACTACGCCCTCGGCCGCAAATGGCGGCTCGCGAGGCAGCAACCCGCTCACATCGGCCGAGAGTCAACCCTTCGTCCCGGCTGGTGTCCAGCAGCCACGACCACCATCGCAGCCGCAGCAGCAGCCGCCACAGCAGCCGCAAGTCAAGGCAGAGACACGGTTTAGCCCAACAGAGGTGGAGGCCCTGCGCATGCTCGGCTACTCGCTCGGCACCAACGGGAACAGCACGAGCAAGGGCGGCAGTGCAGACGTGCAGGCGCAGGGCCAGCGGCGCGACACGGCGGTGGGCCAACGCGACTCCGAGCCTGGCGCGGCGGCACCGCTCATGACAGGCGCGGCGGCACCGCTCATGACAGGCGCGGCGGCACCGCTCATGACAGGCGCGGCGGCTTTAGGCGGCGGTTACACCGTCGTGGGTGACCATCGCGGCAGCTCCGCCAACTCCCCCTCCGACGCACGGCTGAACATGGACATCCCCTCCCTGGAGTACCTCCTGCAGAGCGTGCGAGACATTGATGACGAGTAGAAAACAGAAAGGAGAAGCAGCGGGCACGTTGCTCGTGCAACATCACTGACGGAGAGCGGTAAAACATGGCTAATAACAACGGTGAAGGCCCGAATGGGGTGTTCAGAGATTTCGAAAAGGAAACGCCGTGCAGTGGGAAGGAGAGGGCTGTAAATGAAGGTGGCAGCTGCGTATTGGTGAGGCCCGCACGCAACAGTGACGGTGTGCTGTCATCTATATATTTAAATAGAGAGAGAGAAGCCACCACGTTTATGTGCAAGCGCGAACGAATGTGTGCCGGCCACTCGCATAGTCAAACCGCTGAGGCGCGTTGTGCGACGTTACTAACGAGCGTGGCGCCGCCACGTAGTTACGACGGATCATGTAGGATGCTGTGTCCTCGCTACCATCAAAGGAAAGGAGGAGAAGTGGTTTCGGCTATGGCAAAGGAAGGGTACGCGCGAGGTGCGCCTGCGAGGGATCGGCTGCGCTGTCGGGTGTGTGATTTAATAATAAAAAGAAAAGCCGTCTCGTTTCCCTTTTTCATTCTATCGAAGCGCTCCTTCGTTCCTACATTTTTCGGTGTGTGTGCGTGAACGCGAGTTTCCGGTGTACCGGAACTGCTGATCGATCAACGCACACATGTACGCCTGCAGACACGCGAGCACATGCAATACATAAGTATATATAAAATAAACAGCTGCCCCTTTCTTGTTGTTGCTGATGTTTAAATCGATGTTACCAGGAAACGAAGCCGTATTCCTTTATGTTTTCTTCCTCCTTTATGTACCGCAGATTAAATAAAATAAAATGTTGAATATAGAAAAGAGGCACCGCCACCGAGTCCGGGTAATCAAACTCGGCTTCGTCGACGTTAAACGGGATAGAGATGTGGAGAGCGCCGTGGCCACGTCTGTGATGGCCAAAAGCTAAACCAACCTAAGTTGAGCTAATAAGCGATGTGGATGTGTAGGTGTGCGTGCATTCGGATGTAGCGAATTACCGGATCGTTCTCGTTGGAACTCCGTCGAATACAATAAACATTTTTTCATTTCTTGCAACGCGTTTTCTTTTTTACTGTTGGCATGTCGCACCCTCCTTCTGTCTTGTACCGTTCGGATTGTCGTCGTCTTGTGTGTGTGTGTGTGTTGACTTCAACGAAAACATTTCTCCTTCTTCCTCGACGTGAGGCATAGTGTGTTTTCTTTGTTTTTTTCTAAAACTTGAAATATTAGTCTTACTCACCTGTAAAGATGCAAAGCCTTCACCAGTTCTTCTTGTTTTCTATGATCCTAATATTTATATCTCGTGTTCTTAGCGATGTTGACTTCCCTGAAGAAAGGACTCTTCATTCCCTGCTCTCTGTTGACGGTTTTGTGTCAGTGCGACCCCACCTTTTTTCCCCCTCTTCTTTCTTCCCCTTTGGCGTTTTTTGGCGGTCCATGTAATCGATCAAGATTCTTTAACGGAGGATCCTTTAGACGTGTTACTCCTTCCGGTGATTTCGCCTTCGCTCGCGTGGCGATCATGTTTGCAAATGATATTTCGTGCACATCAGTAGCTGACCTACTTGACCACCTCTCTTCATTATTGTTTGTGATCTTTTTATCGGTGTTTTTTTTTTTCTCTCCTACCTTTTTTTATGGTTCTCGTTTGCGCGGGGTCTCTGCGTGTGTGTGTATGTGTGTGCGTGAGGGGGGCGTAGTGCAGGATCTTTCCTCTTTCCTTTGTGCTGCTTTTGCAATCGTTCGTCGCTAGATTTTTTTTTCCTCACAAACCTGTTCGTTTTTGATTTTTCTAAGATGAAAGATTTACTCAGTTTCGCGTTGACGCAGACGTCAACCGCCTCATCTCCTACGTTTTCTGCGGTGCGAAGAAACAGCAATAGCAGCAAATGCAGAGAGCGCGAATGTGCAAACCCGTGCGTCGGTGCGCCTCCGCCACTGGCTCTCGTCTGCTCCTTTTCGACTATCCTTCTACTCCTTGTGCATACCTAAAGAAAGACGACAGAGACCTTGTCAAACGGTGATTGGGAAAAAGAGATTCTCGTACGTGTGGTTGTGTGTGTTTTGCTTCGTTTCTCTTTTTTTTTTGGAGCTTGCGAATAGAATGACCTAGCCTGAAGAATTATTCATCCTACCTCTCTCTTTTCCCCTTTTCTTGTATTCTCTTTCTCAACTGCTAGAATTCAGCAGTTCTTCCATCTTTTAGTTTTTCCCACCCGCCCAACCCTGAACTCCCCGCCCACCCAGCGGGGAAGCGTAAGGCGGGCTACCCACTTCGTAGAGTCTGTTGAATATTTTGTTTTCTTTGCATTTATTTAACTAATGATATTTACAGTGTGTTGTAAAACCAAGAAAGATAAATTTATGTAATTCACATGTAAAGGTTTGACCTGTTGGTAGGTGATGATTTTTAGGGTGTAGGTTATTCTTTAAGTGAACGCTCTTTTTTTGTTTGTTTTGTCGAGCACACAGAAGCGGCGATGTCGCTGTTGTGGTGTTGTCGATGCATCCCCGTGCGGTCTGCGCGAACTTTCGTTTTAAGGGGGGCCATGAAGGCTGATTATATAATACATCGTGCTGTGTGAACAGCGGACACGGTGCTGCTCATTTCTCCTTTTGGCTCCCCTTCGTTTTGTGGGTACAGCCTCTACCCTGCGCGAAAACCTTCACCTCGAACCCGGTAGAAAAATCAAGTTGGGCGGGCGGGACTTGTTTTTGCTGAGGCCTTTCGGCGTCTGCCGTCCCCTTCGAAGCGGCACCTCAAGCGGAGGAACATGAAAAGGAGGACGTGAATAAACAATGCCGCACAACGTTGTGTGGCGCGGCTCGTGTTGTCCCACCGAAAAGGAGGAGAGAGTGAAACGCGGAGAGCGAGCTATTTCAAGCCGCATCGGTGTGGTGTACTTCAACCGCCGTGTCTCTTCCTCTGTCGATGAGTGTGTCCCTCGGCGGCCTTTGGTGTGCGTGCGTGTTGGTTCTCATTTTATATATAACGCAGAGGATTCCGTAAATGCAGCATTTTCTATGGCTTTAAAGATATATATATATATATAGGTCTATTTGCACTGCGGTGTGTCGCCGCGTGTGTCGCCAGGTCTATGTGTTTTTCTTTTCCTTTTTGGTGCCTTCTTGCTTGATTACGCCTTTCAGAAGAGACATGTTTTCTATCACAACTGAACAGCCAAAACGAGAAACATTTTTGTCTCCTAGTTGAAGCTCACGCGCGTGACGTACGTTCAAGTGCGTATTTCGAGCGGTACGGCAAGGTGGAGCTGGGCGTGGAAACCTACGAAGAAGCTTTGTTTTGGGTTTGTTCTCATCCTGTTTTATGTCATCTTCGTCCTCTTCTGTTTTTCTGCTGAGTGATTTCAAAGGAGACCATGCTGTAGATTCCCTTTCCCTCTTTTCCCGTTTGTTGTGTGTGTCCTTGTTTGTTTTTCTTGCTTTGCTTGCTTTGCTGAGTTCAGTGCTGGCGGCCATCACTGGCGGGTCGTGTCGTGGTGGTAGATATCGTTGACGTAGCTTGAACGACTCGCCATCAGTCTTTTTTTTTCCTTCTCCTTCTCTACGTGTCGTTTTACACCTTGTTGACGGTACTCTATGACTCGTTGTGCGGCGTGTGTGTGCTGAGGCGCAGCGGAGGTGTTTTTGCACTCTTCCCTCGGGTTTGTTAATACTACTATTGTTGTTGTTGTTTTGTAAACTTTCTTGTCCTTTCGTTGTCTTCCGTCGTCTCTATTTTAATTTCGCTCCACGCTCTCTTGTACTACTGTTTGATTCATGTAAACGAGGCTGTGCGTGAAGGGTCTTCCTCTTTTTCTTGCTTGTGTTGGTGAGTGCGCATGGGTGATGTCGGTGTTACTTCCTTTTATCATCATTAACATAATATATGAAGAGGAGTACTTCAACGCTGAAGACTTGTTCAGCTGCCACACCACGTAGATAACTTGGTGAGGTGGGACACGCTGTGCGTATGGTGGCGATGATTTTTTTGATTTTCTGGTGAGTGGGTGTTTGCGTTGACGAAGTCTCCGAACTGGCGACGAGGCTTTTTGATTTCTTTCTGTGGATGGATGTGTGCGTGCGTGTGTGTGTGTGTGCTCGACGTTTTGAATGCATAGCCGCTGTACGGCCTGTGGGTATTTCCCTGCACCCAACCCCCCCCCCCCCACACACACACA